AGTGTAGATGTTCCAGTTCTGAAATCCTGTTTTTCTCGTTACTGAAGAATAAGTCCAGCACACACATCCTGTCTCTCCTTTGTATCGGTTTTGTAACATGTTGGTGTCGGCCAATATCTAAATCTCATTCCATGAATTTGTGCTGTTGTGGGGTTGTTGTTTGTGTCTCCATTTCCGTTCCAAGTGACCCAGTTGATGGCTGGGAGTTTGAAGTTCGTCTTTGTTTACATATGGGACTATTTTTGTTTTGCTTTCCTGAGAGTAGATATCCATGATATTACAAAATTATCTGGTAGAGCATTTCGGGCCTGTCGATCAAACTGTATTTCGATGTATAGATTTTCCCATAGATATTTGTGTAGATGTATGTGTGGTTGGGTGGGGGTGAGGGAGGGGAGGGGGAGTTGAATTTTCACGATTACTTTATTTTCTTTTTGCATCCTCCCATAGTCTTTATTTGCACTTTCCCCATGTTTGTGAGGTCGTTACAAAATCTGATTTCGTGGAATGGATTTATGTTTTCGTAAATTCTTTATAATATGTTTTTTTCTTTGTGTCTTGATTTGCGTTGTTAAAGTATTCTAAAACGACAAAATAATCCCCTTCATGCTTTGATAATTGAATTACAGTGACCAGTGCCCCATATAACTTTCCAGCAGTTGGATTTCACGTCGTCCTTACTCCGGACTATCTGACCGTTCCTCACGATGAAACCGTCGTCTTTGACCATTCCTTGGTAAACGTAGGAGGCGCATATGACATCACGCACGGACACTTCACGGCGACTGTCTCGGGGTTGTACTCCTTCACAGCTAACATCGAATTTAGAAGTTCAGACACCGCTACGCTTGACTTCTCCATTGTCAAAAATGGAGACAGTATTGCTCGTGTATATGTGTATGGATCGGGCACGAGTATTAGGACGGTAGTCGTGCTCCTAGATGTCGGGGACATTGTATGGCTGAAGAACAACGTCGACAACCACCCCAGAATGTACGGAGAGGGGCTCAGCACCTTTTCTGGGTTTCTAATTGCGCCTGTCCATTAACTGTAAAATGATGAATGACCAAGACGGATGTCAAATTCGCAATCAGGAAGATTATACAAAACGTTGATCCAATCATATCACGGCATATCCTAGAACGCAGTGTTTGATCCAATCAGATCACGGCATATCCCAGAACGCAGTGTTTGATCCAATCAGATCACGACATATCCTTAAAAGCAGTGTTTTGTTTAAACTTTCTTTTTGTGAAATTTACATTTTTTGACTCTGAAATAGTTTATATTTAAACAAAGTGTATCTAACTTGTGGTTTTTCTGAGAACATTAATTATTATTTACTTGTCGTAAATTCAAACTCACATTAACAATGTTCTGATTACTATCTGATTTTTCCCATTTTGAATATTTTAATTTTGATGTCGTTTTGAACAGAGACCTTAAGTAAATTTAGGTCTATGTTTTGAATAAACAGAGCATATAATTTACACAAAACATGTTGCTAGTGTTATCCTTTATATGAAGGAAGTCTCAAGTTTTCTCCAAACCATGTAGGTTGGAAGTTTTATTTCAAAAAATCCTATTGGGATCATTCGCGTCCCTTGAATACAGTGCAGAATAAAAGCGGACTTATAATTTGAATACAGTTTACAAAATCCGTACGATTTTGTACTTAATCTCAAAGTCTTCCTAACAAAACTTAAGAACGTTTGAAGTCTGTCGCATGCTGTAAAAACCCAGAGGATATATTCTGATAGGACTTTATTCGAAATGCTTGTTGTTTTCAATATTTCGAGTGCTAAAATACGCCAAATTCGAGCTGTTTGTTTTCAGTTCATGCTCATTTTTTCTAAGAAAGAAAT